CAAATGGCACTCAGAGAGCCAGCTAGTGTGGGCTGGTGTTTCTGGACAAGAGACTGTGTCCGCGGGAAGCAGAGGGGGCCGAGTGTGGGTGAAGAAGGCTAGAGAGTGGGAAAGCATATATCATAAATTACCGGCGCTCTGCAGCCCCTCAGGAAGAAGCAAAGATGGCGTACGGAGTAAGGCACTTGAGTGAAAGGAGGGGGAGATGGTGAGAGGTAAGGAAAAATCAGAAGAAGCAGAAAAAAGCAACACCAGCAGCCAACAAATGGCACCCAGAGAGCCGCCTGCTTGAGTGTGTGGAATCCAAGCAGCCGGCGCTTCCCGGTCAAGAGACCGTGGCCGCGGGTAGCAGAGGAAGCCGAGCTGGGGCGAAGAGGGGTGGGGGGTGGGAAAGCGCACACCACAAATTACCGGTTGTTTTGTCTCCCACTGGGCACTCCGTGAGGCTGCTTTCTCATACCCCCCGTTTGCTGGTCTTCGATAGGAGTCCAAGATGGTGGATCTGTGCTGCGTTAGCTGGTAGGGGACCTGTGCATGAATCCCTCCTCGCTCTCCGTTCTCTGTCAGTTTTTTCACTCCATTTGGTGCTTGGCTGAGTTCTTTATCGCTTCATTTGATGTTTTAGGGTTTCAGGATTGTTGTATTCTCTGTTCGGCTTAGTTTTTCGGATCTTTGCTGTGGAGGGACGGCATGGTGCTTCTGCCTAGAGCACCATTCTGCTGGAATTCCCTCTTTTGGTCTTTTTTTTTTGTATGCACTTAGCTCTAATCCATCCCAAAACTCTCCACCAGTGTGGATTTCCTTAGGATAATCAAAAGAATCAGGATGATTATTGATGTCATTTAATTGGGGAAGCCTCACCCAAAGCTTCTGATTGCCAGTCTGGACAGGTTTCACAGCTGCATCTTAAAATTTCCCTCCATCATTCTGGGGATTTCTTTCATCTCCTGTGTTGGATTTCCTGTTTCCTATAGTCCATGGTTTAATTTTTCTTGGTTTATTCCCTTGTTTTTGTGGAGCACACACTTTAGCAACTTCTGAGAAACAGTGCTTGAGGAGGACTTTTTTGAGACCTTGCACATCTGAAAATGTCTTTATTCTACCTTCACATTTAATTGGTAATTTGAGTGTAGAATTCTAGGCTGCAGATAATTTCCCTTCAGAACGTTGAAGATACTGCTTTGCTTCCCTTACCTTCCAGTCTGAAGCCTTTCTGATGCCTGATCCTTTGTATGAGTGTGACCCACCCATCTTTCTCAATGCTTGTTGGGTTATTTAGTCCTCAGTGTCAAAAACTTGACAATGAATTAAGAGTTGGCT